CGAAGACGCGCTCCACGGCGCTGCCTACCATTAGGAGAGTTGCTGCTTCGGTTTTAATGAGGACAATCTGCATTTCGGGGGCTTTCCCTCCCCCCCACCAATGTGTCAGGATGCCTGGACAAATCAGCAGCACATCACGTTGGCCAAAAACCAAGTGCTGACAAATGTAGATATTTCAAATTTAATTGACACCTAAACGTACTTAAGACAGATAAAGGAAAGGAAACAAAAGAAGGGGGGAATTGAGGGGGGAAGTGGCTGAGCCACGGGGACGGGCATCACATGGCAGGAACCCTGTCGCCAGGTTGAGATGGGGAAGGAGACAGGCTTCATTCGGAGTGCGGAGCTTTTAGGCTTGGGACAAAAGGCAGGCTCTGGAAAGCCTTGGTCGGTTCTGTTTCAAAAGCCTCTTGTTCCAAAGAGCACCCTGGTCTGACACAAGCCAGGGCAAAGGTCTGTTTGGACACAGCAGTCTCTGATTCCTAAGGGCACGGGTGCTGGTGCAGAAGCACAGTGGGGTGGCATGTGTTGACAGCACCCAGGGCCAGGCAAGGATTGTGCTCCCCAGCGTCACTGTGGGTGCTGCCCAGCAGGCAACAGGTGCACTTTGCTCATGCCCCCCTGGGATGGCTGCTCCTCTTGGAGTTCTCTTGCCAATCACCAAATAGGCACTCTTAGTTCAGCAAGCTACCGCCTGGGGTGGCCGGCACTCCTTGGCGGGCTTGGCAGCATCCTAGCAGTGCGGGAGCCATAGCTGCGCCAGGTCTTGGAGGAGGGCTGTTGGTTCTCTTCTCTGCACTCCCGATGCAGGACATGTACTCCCCCAAGGGGACATGCTGGGAAGGAGACCCCAGGAAGGACCAGCGCAGGCTGGGAAAGTCCGGGCTACAGCCAGCAGGAGTTCTGCTCAAGGACAGGCGTCCCTTGGCTGGCCACCAGGAGAAGGAGGCACCGCTGGAGCCCAACAGGCAGACAGTTCAGGTCAAAGTGAGAGAACAGGTGCAGAGAAGAAGAGGTGGCTCCTAAGCAGATGGCTCAAGCAAGTGAACAAAACCACATGCTAGGGGGGAAAGCACTCTGCCCTTCAGAAATCAGTAGCTAATCCCTCTGAGGGGTGGAGAACACTGATCCTCACATAGGCAAGGGGGAGGTTCAAGTCATGCAAAACTCATCCTGAGGAAACACGACAGAGAACCCTTTCCCCTTAAATAATCGTGTGCAAAAGAAGAGCTTATTGTGGCCCCAGAATAACATTCTTTCCTATTCCCAACACGGCTAATTGTACTGAAAAGTCCTTTGGGACTGAGAAATATTATTAATTCAATTTATTATTTGCTTGCTATGCAAAAGAGTCTCTTACAAAATTGTAAGCACATAATGCATAACATAAAACTGGGAAGGGGGCAGAAACAAATGGGAGCAGCAGCTGGAAGGGCAGCCTGGGAGGGGAGGCAGGGAAAAGCTGCTGGAGATGAAGAGGTGTCCCATGGCAAAGCCGCCTCCAGGAAGCAACCCAGCCCCTTTCCGCTCGGGGATCCCTCAGCACTCCCTCAGAAATGTGTGTGTACTGGATGCTGGATGTTGTTCATGTAACCTTGTTTTTTGTTAGTATATTTGCTGTTGTGTTGTTTTGCTATGTTATTATAAAACGGTTTTGGTATTGTTTGTTTTCTTTGTTGTAAGATGCTTTGAACATGAATGAATGAATAGGTGTCTTGGCCTTTGCCTGAAAAGCAGCAGAAGAAGTTACCAAATGTGGCCCTGGATCTGGAATTTGGGGCACATATTTGATACGAGCTGAGAATGTGAAGGTCTGTGGGAGCTCAAGCAGCCATGGCCCACACGGAGCCCCTGCCAGTTATGCTACTAATAACCTGTGGTGTGAGCACTGCTGAACTCCTGCTGCTTCCTGGGTGGCTGGGCACCGCAGCCATTGCCCTCTGGCAAAAGCACACAACAGTCAAAGCACAGTGAAGCACCTCGGTTTGGAGGAACCTTTTCTGCCACCTTCTGCCAGCGTCCACCAAAGAATCAGCAAGAAGAGGAAGGTCTTCCTGGGCACTGAAGACTCTTCCAGTGTTTAAAGGGAAGCTAAACTAGCTGGGACGCTAGTGGCTTGCGGGTGGCGCTGTGGGTAAAAGCATCAGCGCCTAGGGGTTGCCGATCGAAAGGTCGGCGGTTCGAATCCCCGCGGTGGGGTGCGCTCCGGTCGCTCGGTCCCAGCGCCTGCCAACCTAGCAGTTCAAAAGCACCCCGGGTGCAAGTAGATAAATAGGGACCGCTTACCAGCGGGAAGGTAAACGGCGTTCCGTGTGCTGCGCTGGCTCGCCAGATGCAGCTTCGTCACGCTGGCCACGTGACCCGAAGTGTCTGCGGACAGCGCTGGCTCCCGGCCTCTTGAGTGAGATGGGCGCACAACCCTAGAGTCTGTCAAGACTGGCCCGTACGGGCAGGGGTACCTTTGTTGTTGTTGTTTAGTCATTTAGTCGTGTCCGACTCTTCGTGACCCCATGGACCAGAGCACGGCAGGCACCTCTGTCCTCCACTACCTCCCGCAGTTTGGTCAAAGGGTACCTTTACCTTTACTTTAAACTAGCTGGAGTGACCAGCAGCGCTGACCTGACCTCTGTGGTGCTTTGCCAGTTCTGAAGCGTTGGGCTCAAGAGCTGCCTGGGGAGAAGGGCTGTGAAGGGACTTCAGGAGGCACAGTGGAGGAATCTGCCCTTTGTCAAGAGGAGGAATGCAAGTGTATTTTCCCCATGACTCAGTAGAGGAGAATGGGGAAAACAGCTTCCATCAGGGCTAGTCCTTCCCACCTCCCCTTTGAAGAAAAAGTTGGGGAAAGAGGGGAGAAAGGGAGAGAAACAGGGATTCACGAGCTGCAACTCACAAACACATCTAAAACCTGGCCATGATCTCCCCCCAATTAGGGAATAGGCCTCTAATGTTGATGCTCCTGGGACTTGCAGCTTTTGAATGCTTTTAAGAATTACTGCATGTATGTACTAAACTTGTTGGGTGTGTGTTGTTTTTGCTTTAATGAACTGCCCTGAGTGGTTTTTAAGAGGTAAGACTAGATATTACAAAAAATAATAATAAGGAAAATAGACCTTAAGGGAGATGATCCCACCCTGGCCCCCCCTGGGGGAGAGCAGCGTTTTCTCCTGATGGCTCTCCTGAGAAGGCCTCCGTCACCAGGAAGGGGGCCGTGGGGAGGGCACTTTGTTTGCCACACGACTCCCTCAGGGCTGCCTTGTTTGCTTTAACACCAAGTGGCTGGTGGCAGCCTTCTGCTTTCACAGGCGGAGGTGGTGGAGAAGCAGCAGCAGCAGTGAGGAGAGCCCCCAGGAAGCCCGAGTAGCACTTGAGGCAAGGAAATTGCAAGCACACTTACATGTCGCTTCCACTAGATTTACAAGCGGCAAAGGGGTAGACAGGCTGATTTACAACAGTGAGGTTTTGGGAACTGCTTGGGCCTTGGTGCTGAAACATTTACATCTTCAGTGTGGGCACAGCCCATTAACATTGCCACAAACTCCCCGTGATAATTTATCCACCCATTTCTCAGGACTCTCTTGAGAATCAGACGCTAAATACATTTACAGGTGAAACTTGAAAAATTAGAATATCGTGGAAAAGTTCCCTTCTTTCACTAATTTCAAAGGTGAAACTAATATATGAGATAGACTCATGACATGCAAAGCGAGATATGTCAAGCCTTGATTTGTTCTACAGGTGAAACTCGAAAAATTTGAATATCGTGGAAAAGTTCATTTATTTCCGTAATCCAACTTGAAAGGTGAAACTCATATGTGAGATCAACTCGTGACATGCAAAGCGAGATATGTCAAGCCTTGATTTGTTATCATTGCGATGATTATGGCGTACAGTTGATGAAAACCCCAAATTAACAATCTCAGAAAATGAGAATATTCAAGGAAATCAGCGAAACAAGGATTGCAAATGGAGCAAGATTGGACCTCTGAGAAGTGGAAGCACATCTCGCTTTGCATGTCATGAGTCGATCTCATATATGAGTTTCACCTTTGAAGTTGAATTACTGAAATCAATGAACTTTTCCACGATATTCTAATTTTTCGAGTTTCACCTGTAATAGCAACAGGCAAACGGATGGCATTAAATATCTGAGTGTCATAGGATTTACCCTCAGGATGTTCAATTGGGATAAACAGACTCTTCTCTGGAGCCCATTTTCTGACAAGTGATGGTGGAAGGGAAGGTCAAACACACCAGTCTTCCTTGTGCCTATATTTATCTAAAGGACTTAATTCTCTCTGATGCTTTCGCATAACTCAAAAGGGAAAAAGAAGTAATCGGATACAAAGAGCGCATAAGAAAAAGAATACAGCGCATTCAAATTTTGTTATATTTAAATGGTTCATCTCTAGGAAATTCTGCCTTTCCTTGGTGGAAAGCAATTTCCTTAACTGTTTCTAAAACACAATTAGCTCCTCCTTTGGCTTCTGATTGTACAAGGCGATGGCAGTGAAGAGAAGCCACAGGGATCACTGGGTTTTGCTCCATGATTTGCAAAACACACTTTTAACAAAGATTCCCAAGCAAAGCTGCTTTGTGCAGCTGTTCACGTTTCATACCTTGAACAAATCCAGCCATCCTTAATGACTGTGGGTCCTTGGCCCTCTTCCACAAGAGGGCGATCACGTTCCACTGACGGGAGGCTCCTGCCCAGGTTCAAAGGCAGGTGACTGTTTTCCACTGAACAATCGAGAATACCTCCTCCTCCCACCCATCCTGGGCCCAAAGACCCTCAGCAAAGTTAAGCTGCTTGCCTCTTCGCAGAAATCAAGCATATTTCTTAGAACTTCAGAGGCTTTAGCACTAGGCTGACGTTTGCAGAATGTTCTCAACTTTATTGCACTAGTGGCAGAAATGGAAGGATAGGAGGAATATATCCCCCCACGACAACCGCTCCCCCCCCCCACTTCAGACAAGAGGAATGCAGAGGCACAGCTACTCACTGGTCTGGGCTGGATACGGAAGTCCTCTGGCCATCAGTGGCAACGTTGCTTTTGGGCCTCCTGGCCACCTGGGGTCTGGGGGGCCGAACCTACGTGACAGGAGAGTGGAGACATTTTCAGCAGTTCTAGCAAGCTACACAAATTCACACGGAACCTACAAAAATCAACACCTTCCTTTTCAACATGGATCCCATTTCAACATGCCTGTAAATGACAACGACACCCTTTGCTAAATGCCCTGCGTACAATTTCATCAGCAAGATGTCCAACCCTGGAAGATCAGAAGATGGTGGGTGGACAGGCAGAATAACCAAACAAAGGAGTTTGGAGGAGGACATGGGTCGAGGAGGGGGCGCTTGGTTTGCTGTGGGCATGAGGCAGGGAGAGAAAAAGCAGCAGGTGGCTTCATGAAATTCGGGGCATGAACTCCCAAAGTGAAACTTCAGGACCCAGGTGGACCTCAAGAGTTGGAAAGAAGCACTTCAAATTCCTAAATGCCAGAATCTATTTCGGGGAGCCCCCTTTGAAATGGGCTAGGTGCGAGGCCTGTGCAAGAAGGGGGGAAGGGCAACACTCTTCACCATCCAGGGACTTATCCAGCCTGGTGCACAGTAACGGAGAACTCCAGAGTCCGGCACCAAACAGTCTTCAGGGTGTACATCTGTCTGCAATAAATCCACACCCCAATCCTAAGCCCTTTTATACGGAATAACCCTGATTCCAGTATTGTTTACTTGTAAACCAGCGTAGAACCACAGCCTTAGTTTTACCATAAAATAAAATAAAAAAATTGAGCATCCACACAATAATGGCTTCTGAGGGAAGTGCCTCTGAGTGGAGAGCATAGACTGTCCTATTAATGGATGAGGTGATTTGGGTGTCTTTCACTGGTTTTAATGGAGTGTGTTGCCAGGAGCACAGATTCCATTCATCCCAGGAAAGCACCACACTCTCCTGTAGTTAAGCTAAGAGCGTAACAAGAAAGGGAGAACATAGGAAGAGCCTTCTGGATGAGGTCTATCTGGTCCAGCCTCCTGGTCTCCCAGGGGCCAACCACATGCCCGGTGGGAAGTCCACAAGCAAGACATGGCAACAAGTCTACACTTGCGATTCCAGCCACTGGCAGCCATAGGTTTGCTGCCTCCAACAGTGGAGACAGAACAGTGAACTGACGAATTTGAAACGTATCTCCCAGGCAGGTTGTCAAAAGCAACATCAACACTGCAACATACTCACTTCGCTTTGTACCTCACAGAGAGGCCAGGAATGAGCCTTCAATGGGCGGCGGTCTCACCGTGCATACAGCTTGCACAAGACAGGCTCTCAAGCAAACAGGGAGCAGAACTGTACTCTGCACATCACTGGCTACAAATGTGGGTCTTGGCCATTTCTAAGAGTCTCCAAGGGAAGCCCCCAGCCTACTTAACCTCACTTTAAGCAGCTAGCCCTAACAATGATTTAGTTTATTATTTATATGCCGCCCATCTGACAGGGTGGCCCCAGGCACTTTGGGAGGCTTCCAGCATAAACAAAAACATAATAAAGCACCATACATTAAAAACTTCCCTAAACAGGGCTGCCTTCAGATGTCTTCTAAAAGTTGCTTATTTCCTTGACATCTGGTGAGAGGGTGTTCCACAGGGCGGGTGCCACCACCGAGAAGGCCCTCTGCCTTGCTCCCTGTAGCTTTGCTTCTCGCAGGGAGGGAACCACCAGAAGGCCCTTGGCGCTGGACCTCAGTGTCCGGGCAGAATGATGCGGGTGGAGACGCTCCTTCAGGTATCCTGGACCGAGGCCGTTTAGGGCAACTTGGATGTTGTCCTTTGACTGGCAGGTGAAGAGATGTTCTTGGGCCAACAGGCTTTGGGGAACTGACTGTTTTTAATGAAAGGGCTGGTGCCATGCTGTTTTTATTTTAACTATTTGTAACTTTTAAACATATTTTATATATTTATATAGTTTTAATTCTATCAATGCTTCATTGTTTTTTAAATGATTTTTCCGCTTAAGTTTTTAACGTCACAGGAAGGCTTTCTTGTGAATGTACCTTAAAAGAAAGGGCTTCCCACGGCCAAAACTGGCCTAAGTCAATCTTTTCTTCTTCTTCTTTTTTATTGATTCATTATGCAAATAAAGACAAAGAAAAGAAAAGAAAAAGAAAAGAAAAACACACACGCACACACACAAACGCACACACACACCCTACATACATACAGACAAAAACAAAACAGGTACAAAAATAAATAAGCAACGAAAATGGAACAAATTCAAAGAATATGCTGAGGTGCTGGCTTTTCTGGGATGGGTTCCATTTGCTTATTTTTTGGTTTTGGTTTTGACTTCCGTCAATCACTCAGCAGCGCATTTCCTGTGGCTAAGACAGTTTCTCTGTATTTCATTATATTCCTCATCTTGGTATGAGGAGGTCATATTCTCACTTACTGGTTTATTCTAAACACAGCCAAATCCTGGTTGTTGAACCTTGATTCAATAAATAAGTATTTAGGCATTCTCATTCCTTCTGGATAGTTTTTTTAGACTTATTCCTTAAGGCTTCGGTTAGCTTAGCAAGTTCCAAGTACTCACTTAACTTTTGTAGCCATTCTTCTTTAGATGGTATATAATCACCCTTCCAATTTTTGACTATTAATACCATAGCCGCCGTTATTGCATAGAAAAATGGTCTTATTTTTTCTTCTGGAATTCTTCTATTTATTATCCCAAGAAGGAATGTTTATGGCTTTTTATGAAATGTAATTTTTAATAGTTTTTCATTTCATCGTAGATTGTGTCCCATAATTTTTTGATTTCTGGGCATGACCACCACATATGAAAAAGGGTTCCCAGTTGCGATTTGCATGTCCAACATTTATTGTTGTGGTTTTCATTATTTTTAGATAATTTGACAGGAGTAAGATACCACCTATACTGCATTTTCATCCAATTTTCTCTTACTTGGTAGCATGCTGTAAATTTTTGGTTTTTCTTCCATACCTTCTTCCACATCTCTAGCTCTATCGGGTGTCCTACATCCTGTTCCCACTTTTTCATTACAACTTTTATCTCTTTATCCTTTAAATGCCAATTCAAAAGTAACCTGTACATTTTGGATAGGGTTTTCTTGTTAAAGGTAAAGGTAAAGGTACCCCTGCCCGTACGGGCCAGTCTTGACAGACTCTAGGGTTGTGCGCCCATCTCACTCAAGAGGCCAGGGGCCAGCGCTGTCCGGAGACACTTCCGGGTCACGTGGCCAACGTGACATCGCTGCTCTAAGCGGTCCCTATTTATCTACTTGCATCCGGGAGTGCTTTCGAACTGCTAGGTTGGCAGGCGCTGGGACCGAACAACGGGAGCGCACCCCGCCGCGGGGATTTGAACCGCCAACCTTTCGATTGGCAAGCCCTAGGTGCTGGGGCTTTTACCCACAGCGCCACCCGCATCCCTAGGGTTTTCTTATTATTTTGCAGCAAATCTTTCTCTAAAATAGAGGTTTTATTCTCAAAGCCATTCAGTTTTTTATCTCTTTCAAAAACAGCGTTAAGCTGGTGATGTTCTAGCCATGTTATACCTATTTTCTTTAGCTCTTAATAATTTTTTAATTTAGGGCAATAATTTAATTCTGTTACTAGATCTTTATAGGTTGGCCAATTATCACTCATATTTTTCTTGTGGATCGGTATTGCTTCAGTCGGCGATAACCACCATGGACTTCTTGGTTCTAATATTAATTTATATTTCTCCCAGGCGGCATATAAACTTCTCCTCACTATATGGTTAAGGAATCCTCTATGTGATCTTACTCTATCACAGCCCAGGTATCCATGCCATCCAAAAATATTGTCCCCAAAATATATTCTCTTCTTCTGTTTTTAATGACTTGTATACCAGCCTCCATCTGAAGATCACAGGGTGGTTCGCAACATAAAAATACAAAATGAGAGCACAATCACAAGGCTTTTTGTAAAAGATACAGCATTTTTGTGCTTTCCAGGGTTTTTGTCTGCAGAATAAATATCGTTTGTTTGTTTATCTTTAACAATTTATATATCACTTAATCACAAATGTCTCCAGGCAGTGTACAAAAAATTCAAAAAAGTGAAAATAAAAATAAATTAAAATTATAAAATCAGAATTCAGTAAAAATACCTGCTGGAATAATAATAATAAAATAATTGGGAAGTTCAGCAGGGAGGGGGCCTGCCTGACCTCAGCTGAAAGGGCCTTCCATGCAGCAGAATGCTCGGCTCCTGGTGGATACGGAGCATCTGAGCCACAGAAGAGTGGTTTTCCCAAAGAGGGAGGAGTATAAAGGACCAGGAGGCTCAGGAGAAACCCGTCCCAAATCTCTTAAGGGTCTTGTAAACTGACACAAGAACCTTGAAGCAGGTCTGTCAGTGCACGGGCAACCAGTGCATGCTTTTGAGCACCCCCGTTACGTGCTGGGGATAGTCTGTCCCCATAAATAATCTAGCTGTAGACCAAGTCCAAGGCTAGCCCCACAGAGAGGGCATTGCAATCATCAAGCCCTGAGGTCACCAATGCATGAATCAATGTGAGCAGGCTATGCCAGCCCAAGAATGGCTGCAGTTGGCATACCAGCTCCAGCTGGCAAAAAAGCACTTTAAGGGGTTAGAAGTGCCTTTTGCCAGCTGGGCTACTTGAGCCTCCTGCGACAAAGATGAATCCAGGTGAACCCCAAGCTGCGGACCTGTTTTCTCATAGGGAGTGTAACCCCTTCCAGAGAAGTCCACAATGGAATAGGCTTTGGGGGACAAGCAAAGTGCTGGTTTATGAAAGACAAAAAGTGGGTTCTCTCTCTCTCTCTCTCTCTCTCTCTCTGTTATGGCGAGGGACTCAATGCCAGATGCTTCTGACCAAAGGAGTCGTGGCTGACCTGCCCTCCCTGAAGCCCTGGTTTGCACAGCGGGAAATGGCCCTGCCAGCATGCAGCTCAGCATGGATTCAGCATTTTGCATTTGAAATTTGCTATCAAAGCAATGGCATGAGGGCAGGAGCGCTGGGGAAGCAGGGAGGACCCCGGAGAGGTCCTGAATGCCACTGCCCCATGGGAAGGAGGGAGGACCAGATGCCAGAGGCCTCAGAGAGTGGCCTGCACACAAGGCTGACTCTCGCTCTGCAATCAAGACGGCTTAAGGCGGCGAATTCATGGCAGGAATAGAAGGATTAAGTTTGCGGCAACTTCGAGTGAACTTGCAAGGCGGAGAAACATGGGGGAAAAGAACAACAGAGCTAATTAGAGGAGCTGAGCTGTCAGAGCGCGGCTGCATGGCTCAGCGCCAGCAAACAAAAGGAATGGCTTGGCAATCAGCAGGATCGATGGAGGAGACTGCTTCATTAGGGATGATAAAACACAGAGAGAAGGAAAGGCAAGAGAGAGAGAAAGAAGGAGCAAGGGGGGGGGGGAGAAAGAGGGAGAGGGAAAACTGTTTAATTAAGCCTAAAGCTGGCTTGTCACTGTGCGGCGAACACTTTCACCTTAGGGGCAGCCCTCTCGGGGTGGGGAACGCAGCCCGTTCTTGCCAGCAAAGGCAGCTCCCCAGCGCCAGGGGAGGGATGCTAAAGAGGATTGTGTTGGATCCTGAGAGGACTATTATGGGGGAGAGGGGTTGGGAGAAGGGCCAAATCACAGCAGGATTTCAGACGCTACCAAAGAACAGGGTTAAATGCGCACTGAGTGCAAAAGTGCCATGCGCCTGTGCAACAATGTGGAGGGCAAAGGCCAATCATGTGAGGGCTGAATGGGCAGTTTACAGGAATTTCTGCCTACCTGGGGACATCAGCTGACCTTTATGGCACATGAGGAATCTGCCTTCCTTGAGCAACGCAACACACACACACACACACACACACACACACACACACACACACAGGTTCTTAGGGAAAGAGTACTGGAGGCTTAAAATGGATCAGGGTTCTGGAACCAGGTTTTTATTCTAAGAGCTGCTGCTGGGAAGAAAGAAGAGGAAGGTGTGGTTTGTTGGTCAGCCCTTAGAAACTGAAGGTTGAGGTATTCTGAGGCAGCCAACCGCGGGCTTCCCTCATGATGTTTTGGACTAATAACTCCTATCTGCCCCAGCCACCGAAGCCATAATGCAGCTGATGGGCACCAGGCTAGTAAAGGCTGCCCCACATGGATTCTGTGAAGACGTCACTTCCTGAACCCAGCTGCCATGAAGTGCTCCAAGCAACAAAGAATCTGGATAGGAGCGTTGCAGGGTGGATGAGAAGAAGCACACAGCACTAGGTTTGTCCTCCACAAACCTCCATAGTGCCGCAAATGGGATCTGGCCACTGCCACAGCTCGAGTAGATTACTGCAACGTGCTCTGTGCATTTGGAAACTTCAGCTGGTGCAGAACGACGCTTTCCTACCAGTCCAATTCACAGTGCTGGCATTGAGCTTGAAAGCCTAACGCCAACAGTGGGGGACATGTGGCCCTCCAAATGGTATTGGACTCCAATTCTCATCAGTCCCAGCCATGGTCAGCAGTCAGGGATAATGGGTATTGTTGGAAGACAATATCTGGAAGATCACAGGCTGGCAAGCCTGTGTATAGAAACATATGATTTATTCAAAGGGAGGGATCCCTGACACATTTCTAGCAAATGATCTTCACCGGGGAGAATGTGACTTTTTAAAACACATGCACGGAAATGGAGAGACTTTGCAGACTGTTTTCAAGTCAGATGCCACTGTGAGCTTGGGCCTGAGATCCTGGGACTACTTTCTAAATGACTTTGTTTTTGCAGAGAGGAGTCCTGCGAGTAGCAACATGATCTGAGAGACTCTGACTGCATGAAACCATCTGTGAAGCTCCCAAGAATGACTTGGGAGCATCAACAGTTTTCCTCCAAGTTGGTTCTGTGTAACCAAACTCCCCCAGGTTGTGAGAAATTGGAATGCTGTGCAGGGATGTCCCTCCCGACATGTCCTGCGAAAAGCTTCCCATCTAGGAACAACCAGCTATTATGGCACCTTCTGCGGTTAACTCCCAACCCTCTAATCCACCATGTTTGGCACACAGATGGGTGACAATATCTCAGAGGACAACTAAGGCATTGCAGCTGAGAGATCAAACACCCTTGGCAAAATGGGCTTTGATGTCAAGACCAGCCAGCTTGGAGCAAGGTTGCTCAGCAGCATTTTGTCTTTGTAAACTCTTGCTGCAAGGGCCTGCTGGGAGGAGAACAAGGGGGACATGACCCAAAGCTTTTAGCTATAGGGTGATAAAACACACAGAGAAAGTTTATTTCCTAGGTAATGAATCTCAACAAATCCTCAAGGGTCTCCGGCATCAAGGGCTCTGAACAACAGAGGCAGAAGCAATCAGCACCACCTTTGACACATGTAGGAAGGGAAATTATCAATGCATAAATCCATAACAATGATGTGCCGAGCTGAACACCCACTGCAAAGACATGCACGACCGGAACTAAACTCAGAAAACATGCACTGGAAGTTTAGAGCAACTGGCACACCCGACCTGGCTGCCAACCAACAGGAGCAGGAATCTGAAGCAGCAAGCAGCAGCAGCAGCAAAATTCCCTTATTCAGTTTTAGCAAGACAGTTTGGAAACTTGCCCTTGGTTTCTTTGATCTCACTTTCATGGAAGAAATCGGATTAAAGAAAACAGGGTTCTCTGGTAAAATGAGGGTTGCCAGGACAAAAATCCAAAGACTGCAAGGAGAGCAGCCTGAATGACACCAACTGTGGCGCAGGGATTTTGGGGTGGGCAGTCAAGGCGCGTTTTTCACAGCAGGAGCAATGGCGTCATCTGCTGGAATGGCGTTTGTCAGGGCCAGGGGGGGCTGGGGGGCAGATCTTGCCCAACACAGGATCCTTTTTAGCTTACTGAACTTCACTGCTGACCAGGGATGTGTTCTCACCAAACCCAAGTCCAACATGCTAACCCCTCTTTCACACAAGGCACCAACCTCCTTCTTTGGGCAAGGAGGAAGAGTCCTAGAATCAATGCCACATCTTTGCAGGTATCTGGCAATGTGGACATGTGAAGGAGAATGAAATGCTGCTAAAAGGGGACCAGCATTTCCTTAATGTAGATCCTGTACCGAATGACAGTACACTGCAAGGTCCTCTGCTTGAAAAGCTACTTGTTTCCAGTTATATGCTGATTACTGAAAGGAAAAATTAACCTGATCTTCATTTAGCAAGTCTACATTTCTGTGATTCTATGACTGCTTTTGTTTTCTTCCAGAACACATGGAGGGCACAGATCCAGAGTGCTGAGGATGTTTGCAAACCCAGGGTCCAAATTTAGAGGCCGATGCAAGTCTTCAAAAGCTCACTAGCTAAAACTGCATGTGGAGCCTAGAGGAACTGAAAATGAGAGAAAGGTGTCACAAGAGCAGCAGAGACCCTGCTGAAGACAAGCAGAGCAAAAGGAAGACCTTTAGACTTAAGTCTACCAATGAAAGGGCAGCGGTTCCCTTTTGGGCTTGGCAAGGCCCACCAAGCAGGATTTAGTAAGACGATGGAGAGCGCAGGGTTAAAGGTGGCAGCAGAGAGGAAGAACGGCCAGCTACTCACGGGCCTGGAGGAGCGGTGGATCTTGGGAGGAGGTGGTCTTGCTGGTCGGGTGCTTAGCTGTGGCATCAAAGCGGAAACTTCAGTCATCAGCAAATACAAAGCACACTTGACTTTGCTGCATGCTAAATACGCAGTGCCTTAAGGCCTCCTTGAGATGCACCCCCCTAGCTTTTTGCAGCTGACAGGTCTAACACCACTACAGGGCAGGTGCGAGTAAATGGGGTGGAGAACCACCTCTAGTCCATTTCAGGAGCCCTTTGGGGGGATTAGACAAAGTCACGGAGGAAGTGGCGGTGGTCTATCAATGGATACTGAATGTGACTCCTCAATGGAACATCCTTGCTCAGAGGCAGTCTACCTGAATACCAGCTGTTTGGAGGGGTGAGGAGAGAGGCATCAGGGGAGGGCTGTTGCCCTTCTGCCCTGCTTGTTTCTCAGAGGAGGCATCCAGTTGGACACTGGAGGAAGCAGGGCACTAGACCGGACTGACCCAGTAGAGCTGCTCTTACATTCTGGGAAAACCATGGGTTATATTATATCTTTTAAGATTTATAACACATACACAGGCCAAAATACAGCACTGCAGCCACTGTGAACGTCATTTAGAACGTCATTTCAGCCTTGAAATGTGGAGAATCTGGCTGCGTCTTTATTACGACCTTGCCCAACCTGGTGCCACCCAGCTTTGTTTAGCTTCCATCAGCCCCAATTGCAGTCCAAAACAGCTGGAGGGCACCAGGTTGGGGAAGCCAGCTCTATAAAGGAGCAGAAATACTAAAACCTTCATTGCACCCCTGTGCTCTGCTCCATGCAGGGGTCTGTAGAACGGTTAGCGAAACCAAAAATGCTGTACTCCAAGGAAAACTGATGGGATTTTCTCCCCCCCCCCGCCTTTGTCATGAGGAAATGCTCCCGACAGCCCCTGTGGAATTCTGCAGTTCTCCAGCCTCTATGAAAAGTTAAGGGCTAGAAGCTTGCTTTTTAAAATTATGAAGACCAGAGATCCTCTGGGCACGGACTGTGATACTCAGCACCAAACTCCCATTTGCACGATGCAACTGCATGGGATATTTCCCCCTCCTGCCTACATGTAGGACTGGCCACAGGGGATGCATCTCATTCTCCCCGCATTTGAAACATTCCAGTCACGGCCACTGCTGGAATGGAGGTGGCCTGTGAGGAAGGCCCTCGTTTTCCTGGCAAGACAAGTAAAAAGGGGGAGCAGAGGGAAGGTGAGCGAGTGAGTCCGACACCCACCCACCCACTCCCACGGTGCTTTCTCTTTTCACGTTCAGGAGCCCCCCCCCCCCCCCCCGTCATACTGCAAACACATATTCAAAGGACGTGAAAATTATATTTACTAAAACCAGCATCCGATTTGCAGCTAATTTGTTGATGCAGCAAAACACATTGTTTCCAAAAGGTCAGAAGTGGAAGCTGTGGTGGAACATCAGCCTAATTACCTGTGCTACATAGATGAGGCTGTGGATGTCCAGGCTGGTGCTGCTGAAGGCAGCTAAATTACTGTCACAGGCCTCTTGTCAAAGGAACAGGCAGTGGGGTCTCCGCAAGGGAGGTGGGGCAGGATGCTTCCCGGCTCTCCTGACGGCTGCCTCGGTGCACTCTGCATGCGCCCGCTGCGAGGGCACTGGGCAGGAGCCTTGGCCTGAGCCCAGAGATGATGATGGTGTGGATTTCACACCACTTCTCCAGGGTCTGAAGACACTGCCTTTGATCTCAAAAGGCCCCGGATAGGATGTTGGCTTCCTACCCTCTTTTCTTGTAAAAGGAAGAGCTCGCCTGGGGTCCCAGAGAAAACGCTGGGACTCCAACTCTCATCAGCCCCAGACAGCGTCCTCAACAGGAGCTGGAGTCCAGAAACATCTGGAGAGCCACATGTTCCTCATCACTACCCTGTATCAGCAAAGGACAACCCACCGTATGCTACCATATTTGTAACCTGCACAATAAATAAGAAACACAGCAGAGTGCTCTGAGCTCTCCTGAAGTGATGGGCGGGGGTCTTCTCCAGACAGCTCCTGCTTTATTCACTGCTACCAGTGAATAAATCTAAGGAAGTCAGATTAGCCCCAACCAGAGCCAGGGCCTTTTCAGCACTGGCCCCGGCCTGGTGGAACGCTCTGTCTCGTGAGACCAGGGCCCTGCGGGATCGGATTTCTTTCCGCATGGCCTGTAAGGCAGAGTTGTTCCACCTGGCCTTTGGCTTGGAGTCAATTGGATTCCCTCCCCCTCTTTATTTTTCCTTTCTCCTCCTGTGATGAGGCTGCGTTTTAATTGTTTTAATGTTGTATTTTAATCTTGTTTTTAAGTTGCATTCATTCAACTCATTTTTATTATTGATTGTTAGCCGCCCTGAGCCTGGCCTTGGCTGGGTAGGGCGGGGTATAAATAAAATTATTATTATTATTATTATTATTATTATTATTATTATTATTATTATTACTACCAGTGGAGGGCTTCCGCCCGCCCATCAACGGCAACTTTGAGGACAATGGTTGGGGCTTCCTAGTGCAGAATAACAGTGACTAACAGGGTTCCATAAAATAACGTATAAACTGTGGAGAAAACAGAAAACAGAGGTTTTTCCCTTCTCTCTCAACCCTTGGGTGGATGGTGGTTAACAGATTGAGGTTAAATCCCAACAAGACAGAAGTACTGTTTCTGGGGGACGGGGGCAGGCAGTGGGAGGCATCTGCGTGACAATATGGGAAACAGGATGTTGAGCCAGTTAGGCCTTTCACCTAACTACAGGGAACCAGGCAGAGGGCCTTCTCAGTAGTTGCGCCCACCCTGTGGAACACCCTCCCATCAGATGTCAAGGAAATAAACAACTATCTGACTTTTGGAAGACATCTGAAGGTAGCCCTGTTTAGGGACGCTTTTAATAACTGATGTTTTAACGTATTTTTAACCTTCTGTTGGAAGCCGCCCAGAGTGGCTGGGGAAATCCAGCCAGATGGGTGGAGTATAAATAATTTATTATTATTATTATTATTATTATTATTATTATTATTATTATTAAGACCCAGCAGGGCTCTTTTTACATTCTCAAAAGCAAATATTGAAAAACAATGGAAGGCAGCACATATCATTCATGTTTTAAGATGTCCACAGATTTCTTACTTCTTAACTTCTCTCAAGTGGAAACATCCTTTTTTGGATAACCTCATGCTGCTGCTTCCTATTTGAAATTTAAAAGTGGTGAAAAGATGAGAGGAAAAGCATCCTATTTTAGGTAATACAGGTATCACCAAAAGTTGTCATCCGTCAGGTAGTGATAAAACCTGTGCCTGGTCCCAGCTGTACAGTTCCAAGCCAGCAGCACACACCTCCAAAGCAGATGGGCAAGACCTTCCCATCAGAACCACAAATTGGATACCCCCCCCCCGAAAGCCACGGAAGAGTCTGGGTTTGTGACATATGTCAGATTCCGAACAAAAGGCAAAGTCAAAACAGTGAATTGGCTGGATTCCAAGTCATGGCCGATGGGATATAAAAGCACACTGTAGGGATGCACTGTGCGGCTTTATTTCTGCCTCCCACGGATCCCCATGTCCCCCGCCCCCCAAGCCCAGCTTAGATCATGACCTCCTTGCTTACCAAGGCCCAGCAGCCTCCTAAAGGTCTTGCTGTTGTGGTTGGAATTTACTTATTTATTTAGAATGCCAATGCCTTTGGGGCAGTCTTACAGAATCAGCCTGAAAGTCCAACTTTCCAGTGGTGGCCTCCCCAGACATGGAATGCTCTCCCCAGGGAAGTTTGCCTGGCACCTTCCCTGTACTCCCTTTCCAGCAACTTTTAGTGGCGTTGCACACATTATTATACGTTTTTATTTGCTGCTACTGAAATTTCATGTTGCTTTTTGCTGTTTTATTGATTGATGATCTGTATGTTTTATTGTTCTAAGCCACCCAGAAAAAAGAGTTAGTGAGCAGCATATAATAATGAAAATAAGTAAATACTGATTACTTAATTAAAAGCATTGCTGTGGCTTCTGCTCCTTCAATATACACTGCTGCATAAGGTTAAGAGTTCTGGGCTAGAAGCTGGAAGAGACCAGGGGTCAAATCCCCCCCCCCACTACCATGAAGGTCACCGGGTGACCCTGGGCAAGGGACTGCATATCTCAGCCTAGCCTACCTCACAGGGCTGCTGTGGAGAGTCAAAGAGGATGGGGAAAACCATGGGCGCCACTTTGAGCTCCTTAGAGAAAAAGGTGGGATATAAATGCAACCAACAAACAAGAAAACTGTTTCCCAGACGCTTGTCTCTAGAGCATGAGCTCAATTCATTTTTGGCAGGGTGGGGGAGGGGACAAGAGGGGGAAATTGCTCAGAAAGTCTTTCCAAGTTCCTGAAGCGTGACAGTTGAAATGCCACCAAGAACCAGCAGACGTCCACAAGAAAGTCATTGTGGGCTCCCCTCAAAGACAAAAAAACAACAAGAAGAGAGAGGTCAGCTCCTCAAAACCTGGAAGACATTCAGCCCAGCGTGCCCAGAAAACCTGTCCATCTCTGGCTTCAGCAGAGTTTAAAATCACACAGCTAATAGGTTAACAACTGTTTTTCTTCTGCTTCAAATGAAGAATATCAGGAAGCCGGGGGAATATTCGGCTTTCCAATTTGTACCGACTGCTCAGAGCTCCCTGCAATGTGTGTTTGACAGGGCTGACATTTTGTACTGCTGTGAGACGGGGGGAGTATGTGTGACATTTTTATTCATGGTGGCGTACGCCCTTGTAATGATCAGCCCCGGTCGATGTGCTTACTGCAGCAGCCCCCAAGCCCTCGGAGAACAAACAGGAGTCGAAGGTACCAGCAGTTCGGCTGCCTTGTTAGACACCGCCAGGATCCTAACGAAGAGCAAATGCTGGAAAATTTCACTGTCAAATCCTCAAGGACACTGTCAGCAGAGAGCTGACTGCATATATTTCTCATTTAAAACAAGGAAAATTCACCAATTGTGCATTAAGCAAAAGACAAAAAGCCACACCAGGTTTTTAAACTTCCTCGCCTTTTCTTCTTTTTAAAACTGGTCATTCTTGCAGCTTCTCATGGGGAGCTGCTGGTTGCCGGGCTCAATGCTGGAACACACGTCTACAAAACCCAAGGCAGACCAGCTGATTTAAGATGAATACCAACAGACATGAGCTTGATTATCTGGGGAGGAACAGAACAGTCTCTCCTCTCCTGCAGATGGAGTCATATATATATAAAACTATCATTCCGGAAACATGCCAGCTTGCTGAGCTCTTGGTTGTGTTAGCACAAGAGTATGGAAGTTCAGAGGGGTTTGGGCAGAGACCCATCAGCAAGCCAACCGTCTGCCCAATTTACTAGAGGCAGAAGATTGCTGTGATGCTCACTGTTCCACTGTGTTATGCGTGTGTGCATAAGGAAAGCAACTTGGCTGGGGTCAAGTGAGCCTCGCTCTACCGCTCAACACTGGCCTCAATGACCATGTTTTGCATTTTCCTTGTTTCCCTCCTCATTCCCCTAACCTCCCAATCTTCTCAAAGCAACAGGCTACCAGCTGAGAATGGCAGAACAGCCTTCCCACAAGGAGGCACTAGCCTGCAGAGCTCTGTCCCTCCTCAGGCTGTACTTTCTTCAAGCGAACTGTTCAGGGGAAGACGGATAAGCACTGCTTCCTGTACTCTCTGGAAGAGCAAGGCTTCCACTGAGAATCCAGGCACATCTTCCTTAGGCTTCCCGATGGGTCAGGCATGTCACAGGCATGGCTTAAGGCTGTAACAAGAGTGCGACTGATGGCAAAAACTTCTCCTCCCCCTCATTTCTGTGGCAGAGTCTTGGTGGAGCTTCACAGGTTTGCACCAAACATGTCATGATGGGCTCCTCTTTAGCACATTCTGCAGCAAGATTTCACTTTCAGGTGCATTTTTGCCACGTAACTGGAGGGGTTCCTGTAGGGATTGCATCCTTTCTCTCCCGCTCAATGGGGGATAAGGACTGAGCAGTACGCATGTGTACTATTACACTGGAGAAGGAAAATTGTTTGACAAACAGCTTCAAAAGTAGAAAAAAATTCAAAATGGAAGCAGATGACTTTTCCTCCCCTCAGCCAGTTATGACCCAGCCGCAGAGTGGCCCAGCTGTGAAACCGTTCGATGCTTCATTCTGTACGGCATCCCTCTAGGGACACTTCCTGCAGTGGTCAAGAGACCAGGGTATGGAAGTCAGAACCGCCAGTTAAAGGTTGCAACTTGAGCAATAATGGAAATTAAAAACTGGTCTAGACACGCGCAGCTCTTCTAGCTCCTTGATCTTGAACTCAAAGCATGAGCTCCATAAACAGGCAAGAGAACGTTGCAGGTTTGGCTGCTTCGGATTTAACACACTCAAAAGATTCTACATACCACCCATTCCCTGCCTTGTCCTTTAGCCACATGGTGCAAAGTGAAAGGAACTGCAGCCGTCCCCACTCCCAAAAAGAGCAAGGTTTCAAGCTCTGGAACTGAGCAAAGGCAGCAAACAGGGTTCTCTCCACACAGCCTAACGGCTGCAATTCTCAAGATAGGGGCTTAGCTAGCTTAGAATCAATAGAATTGCAGGGTTTGAAGAGATCCCTCAGAGGTAATATAGCCTAACCCATGGAAATGCAGGAATCACACCTAAAGAATCTCGGGCAGATGGCCACCCGACCTCTATTTCAAAACATCCGCCACCTTCTGAGGCATCCCATTCCATTCCCAAACAACCTGCCCTGCTTTTTGCGGGAAGAGTAATGCTTTGGTGACCTTGTTTTCCCAGGCTGCCTGAGAATCTGCTGCGAAACAACTGCAGAGCCAGAAATGCTCCCATGGCACACAGAAGAAAGCCTCCAGCTGGAGAGAGCAAGACGTAGCCCAGGTCGCCATGAAGCTGCCTGGTCATCTAAGCTGCACTTGGGCCCCTTTGCCAGCAGAGTGATGACAAGGACCACGCGGGGCACAAGACGCACACCACCGGCTGCTGCCAGCTACAGCCAGGCAAGCCCTAATGAGTTAAAATTAAATGTTGCCGTTGGCTCGCCAGCCCTGTCCCTCCTCCCCTTCAGCTAATCTGTCACTTAATGAAGAAAAGGCCCGCTTGCTTGGTGGCGGCGTAGGACAGGGAGAGCCGAGCTGCCGGCTCACTTTCAGCAAGCTGATTAAGGATTTCAACCCACAGCAGCCAGCAGACGTCTCCCAGAAAAATAAATAGACTGTATGCAAATGTGTTTGTCACTCTGACAGCACATCTCAATTAAGGCGTCTTGCTGGGGCTGGTGGGCTGAGGAGCTGCCACAGCCACAGCAAGCCAGCCTGCACTACTGATATGTAACACAGCCAGTGTGGTGTTGTGGTGAAGAGTGTTGGAACAGGACTTGGGAGACCAGGGTTTGAATCCCCGCTTGGCCACTGAAGTTCTCTGGGTGGCCGTGGGCCAGTCCTTGTCTCTCAGCCCAGCTTGACTCACAGGGATGCTGTTCCCAGGATAAAACCAGGAGGGGAAGCACCATGTACCCCACCTTGAGCTCCTCTGGAGGAAAAGGGGGTTTATAAGAATCACAAATAATAAGAAGAAGATTGGGGAGGAGGCGCTTGACCCTCACCAACATGAATGCATTTTCTGAATAAAGGATGCCATGATGAGAACAGACATGGATGGCAAGGAATAACTGAGGAAGCGAACACCCCTCTTTCACATCTTCCTCTCGTTCTGGGAATGTGCAAACCACTCCAACTTCACCTGGATTTTCACTCCTTTTTAATTATCTGTATGAGGCACTTAAAACGCAACATTAAACTTAATACAATAATAATACTGGGGTTTCTACTCACATCTCCACACTAAAACCCATCCCTTCTCAGGAAAAATGCTTTGACAGCTTTTAATCCGAATTATCACCAAGCTATAAATGTGGGCAGAGGTTTGGCAGAATGTGGCGTCTGCAATCTAAGGACGGTCGTTAATGTGTTTCTCTTAAGGAGAGACCCAAACCAGCAGAACAAACAAAGGCAAAGAAAGTGGGAGTGGAGAGTTACTGTAAAAACTGCATCATTTTGGAACAATCTCCTTCTGCCTTATTAACCCACCCTGGTAACAGCAGCAGCACACAGATTTTCTGCTCCCCATGTAAATCCTTTGTGTGCAATATTGTGTACACAAAGTGACTTTGCTTGGTGATTTTTGAAAAGTAGTTGTCTTCTAATGATGAATGGAGAAGAGGGACATTGCTGTTTGTTAGAATAAAAAAAGGAGCTGCTGGAGCACCAGCCCAAAAGCTCTCAGGGTCCCCTGGAAGACACATGAGGCCACCACCATCTTCTGAAGCTAAGCATGTCTGAGCCTGGTCAGTGCCTGAAAGGGGTGACTGCCTGGGAACTACATGTATGCTGCCTTGGGTTCTATGACAGAAGGAAGAAAATAAGTGCAAGAAAGCAAACGAAGCAAACCTGTATTGATAAACAAAGTGGAAGAGAGATACATTCCTGCAACACAAGAGCAACTGATCTCAGACCCATTCACTCACGCAGAGAAAAATACTCCAATAGCTGGGCAAATACAGAAATTTCGTTAGGAGGCTCTGAAGCCCTGTTCTAAATATACATGTCTCTCTCCAGGTGTGTATGTTAGAGAGTGAGTGAGGTTTGCATAAAAGCAGCCATTATAAAGATACACCAGTGAATGATTGCGTCTTATGCATAAGGAGACATGAGTTTTCAAACCTGTGTGTGCATTTAAATGAAAACATTTGGTGCCTTAATGTGGCATCCAACACTACTGTTGTTTAAAAAGCATTAAAGTGTTTAAAAATAATAGTGCTATTTCAGTATTCAGTATAATTATACCTACCGTCACATGGACACTTGGAGAAATCAGGTATTAATTCACACCTGCCCTTTAATATTTAAACTTCACAGACTAGTAGGGAAGATTAGATTAAAATTAAAACTGGGGCCAACAAATCTTGTGACAACAAAAAGTGAACCCATCACACTTCTCTCCCACCACCCCCACCCCCACCCCCGCTAAGGCGAAAGCTGGAAAGTTGATCTCAGTAGTTTTGTATACGTTTTTCTAATTATTAGCCACTCCAATCCTGGCTAAGTTTCACAAATATATTGCCAGGGCCATAATAAAAATAACCAGCCTACAGAGCACCGGAGTCAATACAGAAATATGCTATTAAAGAACCATTAATTGATTTTCCAACCACAGTTCATTGCTTTTTCTGTTCAAAGTGTGCCGAAGTGCTTATTATAATAAGCCGCTCGCTGCTGACACTAATAATTGGGCTAGATAACAGAAGACACCTTAAACGGAGTCACAGGGAAGGAAAAAGCTGTCGCCTCTGCGATGGAACCGGCAGGATGCTTCCCCTTTTCAGGTTAATACATGGCAAGAGATCCTCAGAAGTATGAGCAAGAGAAACCCAGGCAGGGGCATGGTATGCAAGCCTTGTGAGGGCTTCAGATCTGAGTCAGCTGCCACTTCCAACTTTAAAGCAAGCCACTTGTGCGAAGCAGAAGACGCTGCACAGCTCCAAATCCAGGTGTCTTTGTAGCGATGTGCAAAGTCTGGTTTTGTGCACACGCAATAACCCTTTCACACACCATGGATTGCCCATGATCCAACAGATTTTGGGGCTGCACATGACCCAGAACTGCTTGGCTTCCCAGGGACCAATATGAGTCTGTGTGTGCATCTTCCTACAGAGAAAGCAAAAAGGAAGCCAAGGCGTTTGAATCATGCACTTCAAATAATTCCGACCTCCCCCACGTACCTGCCCAAAGTGCACAGTGATTGGCCTTCTGTCCTCGTGGAGTCTGGGATCTCTTTGTTCAGCCAGTGGGGAAGGAGTTGTCCATGGCAGGGAGTTTTCTGGCACAGTGGAGCAGCCGTTCTCTGCAACGTCCTGTATGGTAGGAAATGGTGAATTGCATGGCCAGGAACACTCTTGATTAAGGGCGAGGGGCAAAAAGGAAGGACTCGGGGATAAAACTGACTAAACAAGTTTTGATGTTAGGAATGACAACAGCAACAACAACAACAAAAAAGCATAGATAAAAGAAACCAATTAGCATATAAGCCACTGCCACACTTTTGTTCTTTCACAAGTTATATAAAAACTCAACACACATGCCACAGAATAACAAAATATCCCCCAAATTCCAACTTTGGCTGAAGTGGCCCTAAATAAATACATAAAATTAATCAGACACATAAAGACGTTCCACCAAAGACAAACCATTGCACAATCCAAAACAAAGCATATGGAATAACAAGACCTGCTGGAGCAGAGCCAGGCTGGCGTCTGCAAGGGAAAGTCCTGTCTCACAAACCTATTGGAATTCTTTGAGAGCATATTGTTAAGAGCTTGTGGGGTGCCTTGAACACCCTTTCTAATTCCTGGACCCTCCCTTCTAAGTCCTGGGTGCTAGACACTGGATTTAACATGTTAAAATCAAGCCAGCCTGGCTTCCTGTGCTCAAGAGATCACCTGACAGAGGGGCCATTAGAAGAGAACAAAAGGGAAGGTGAGGAACCATTAAGGGACACAGAGGAGTGGCTGTATGCCAGAGGGCAGAGAGGTAAGGAGAGTAAAGAGTTTAGGAATGCAGTTGGCCTTGATGTCAGCTGAAGGGAAAAGGTTGCAGTCTGTTAAACGCAGTAAGCTGCAGCAGAGGGCCAGAGAGCCATGGCTGATTTCTGATAGCATCCAAAGCTGTGGCCGTGGGAGAAGAAACCTCTTGGAGAGTTAATGCTGTGAGCCCCTCATCGCAGGCTTATGTAAATAAGCCATATATCCTAAAGACACCACAGTCTCCGCTGTGTCTCATGTCCAAAGGAAACACAAACCCCAGCGAAGCACCTGGAACCCCTGGAATCTCACACCTCCCAGCATATAACAATATAGACAGAGGTCGTTGACATTGTGTACCTGGACTTTCAAAAAGCTTTTGACAAAGTACTTCACCAAAGACTCCTAAGTAAGCTTAAGAGCCACGGAATAAGAGGAGAGGTCCTCTTGTGGTTAAGATGCAGGAAGCAAAGAGTAGGAAAAAAATGGAAAGTTCTGCAAATGGAGAAAAGTAGAGAGTGGAGTCCCCTAAGGACTGGTATTGGGACCTGTGATCTAGAGAGTGAGCTAAGTTTTCTAATAACACTAAATTGTTCAGAGCTGTTAAAACATAAAGATCATAATGGACCTCTGAAAACTGAGTGAGTGGGCAGGAAAATGGCAAATTCAATTCAATGAAAAAAAGTGCAAAGTGAGGGACGTTGGAGCAAAAAAAACCCCTGAATTTCACATATGTGCTCATGGGGTCTGAACTGGAGGTGACAGACCAGGAGTGAGACCTTGGGGTCATAGTGGAAAGTTTGAGGAAGTGGCTCTGTGTGAACAAAGCTAATTCCATGCTAGGGATCGTTAGGAAATGAATTGAAAATAAAACTGCCAATATCATAGAGCCATTATATAAATGTCTGGTGTGACCACATCTGGAGTAGTAGTAGTAGTAGTAGTAGTAGTAGTAGTAGTAGTACTCCACCCATCTGACAGGGTTGCCCCAGCCACTCTGTGTACAGTTCTGGTCACCTCACGGCAAAAAGGATATTGTAGAATTGGAAAAGCTAATCAAATTTATTTTAATACTGGTGCAGAAGTTGGTTGTTACCTGTGAGGGAAAACAAGAGGAAACAAGGAGGACCATTTTGTAGTATCTAAAGGTAAAGGTAATCCCTGCCCGTACGGGCCAGTCTTGACAGACTCTGGGGTTGTGCGCCCATCTCACTCAAGAGGCCGTGGGCCAGCGCTGTCCGGAGACACTTCCGGGTCACGTGGCCAGCGTGACATCGCTGCTCTGGCGAGCCAGAGCCGCACACGGAAACGCCGTTTACCTTCCCGCTAGTAAGCGGTCCCTATTTATCTACTTGCACCCGGGGGTGCTTTCGAACTGCTAGGTTGGCAGGCGCTGGGACCGAACGACGGGAGCGCACCCCGCCGCGGGGATTCGAACCGCCGACCTTTCGATCGGCAAGCCCTAGGCGCTGAGGCTTTTACCCACAGCGCCACCCGCGTCCCTCTTTTGTAGTATCTACCAGCAGTTAATTTTAGATAGTTCAAGAAGAGGCACAGAAGTTGAGGGCTTGCAATAAAGTAAAAGTCCACAGAGGGTTTACCAACCATATTCTTAGAAATGCTTTGTATAAGGTATGAACTAGATACCAACCACCACTAGAGCCATATACACCATGGTGGCTGTCCCTGCTAGAGGCATTCACAGTAAAAAAAAAATTAAATATTGAAAGTAATTGGGCAACATATACTCAATTATTAAGAGAAGACCAAGGACAATTAAAGTTAAAATCATTTGAGGAGATAAGACACTATCTTACCGATTGGCTCCAATTTCATCAATTAAATAATGTTTTCAATTCGGATAAAAAAATTAGGTTTTGGAAAAGAAGAACCCAAATTACAAAAAGTATTATTAAAAAACAACAAGAAATTATTATCCAAAACTTATGATTTGATACTAGAATGGGAACTAAAAGACAAAGAAATAAAAGAAGTAATGGTCTAATGGGCCCAAGACATCGGCCATGTAATACAGATAGAACACTGGGAAAGACTTTTGAAGTTGGGTATAAAATTTACCGCCAGCTATTCCATAAAAGAGAACAAAATGAAAATGTTTTATAGGTGGTATATGGCACCCTCCAAACTTGCCAAAATACGTAAATTAAAATCTAATCTATGCTGGAAGTGTGAAGAGGTGGAGGGGGCTATGATCCAGGCATGGTGGGGCTGCAAAAAAGCTAAAAGATTCTGGGGGGGGGGGGTGCATCTACAATGACGTAAAAAGGATGTTAAAAATTTCTATAGAGAAAAAACCAGAAGCGTACCTATTGGGTATCTTAGGAAAGGGCATCCCACAAGATAAGAAAAAAATATTCTTATATGCCATAGCCGCAGCCAGACTACTACTTGCAAGGAACTGGAAAGGAAATGTTATCCCCACAAAGGAAGATTGGATATGTAATTTAAGCGAATTCATAGAGTTAGCGAAGTTAACAGCACCCAGAAGGCATCAGACTAATCAGAATTTAAGGTCAGAATGGCAATGCTTTGAGGATTACATGAAGAAACATATTCTAAGGATAATATGTTGGTATGTATAGACTAACTTTGTAAAGTAGAACTAGAAAAAGGTAATATATTAAGGATATTAAGGATGACCAAAAGACGCAATGTTAGTAAGAATCTAAAGAGTAAGAGATGATGAGTACTGGGGGAGGGAAGCCACATGGGTGTATGATTTGGTTTTTGTCTTTGTTTCTGGTTATTTATTTATGTATATTATTATTTTGTGTTGTTATTGCTAATTGAATATTGTGTACCTTTGGAAAATAAAATAAAATTATGTGGGGGGGGGGGAGAAGTCGAGGGCTTGCTATTGAGGCCCCTTGAAACTGCAGTTGACATGTTATGGGAGCCTGAGAATGGCCAGGTCAGGAACGTCAAGCCCTGTTGTGGATGTTTGCCCTCGGAGAACCAGTGCTTGAACTGAATCCAACCCATCTGAGCATCCCCTGGTGGATACTTTAAACACTCAGTGGCCAGCAATAGATCTCTGTTGGCTACAGAAAGACCTCTACTATGATGAACACCCCCCCTCCCCCCCGGCTTCTGTCTCCTTGTGGGGCACTTTGTTGACTGTGCACCAACTTCCTTACAATAATGCAATTTGTTACAGTAAGTTGTTGCAGGCCACACTGGTTCACTGGCTCCTTCCCCTTGTGCACATGCAAATGTCAAGTTTGATTTTTGAAAACTCTTAAAGTTAAGTAAGCTGTACCCAAAGCTAACTAAAAGCCATGTCAAAGTGCCTTCTAGACCCAGAGTCTCCCACAACACTGACAGGTGAACCCAGTATTGTCTACCCTTGACCAGCAGTGACTCTCCAGGGTCCCAAGCAGGGAAGGGTCCCTCTCACCACCTGCACAAGGATCCTTCTTCGTGGAGATGCTGGCGGTGCTCATATCCAAGACCTTCAGCGAGCTTGGTCCACCAGTGAGCTATGGCCCCTCCCTTGCTGATTTTGTGAGTAATTTTGGACCTGGTGCTTAATCAAAGCAGGGACGAATCCACAAGCTTACATTTGATTTAACAGAGAATATTCAGGAAGGTAATTACAGCTCTTGCTTTCAGGACTGACCATAAGAAACAGACAAACAAACGAAACCAACCATAAATCATGTTTCGTTGAAGCTTTGCAATGTGCAAATATATTTAAATGTAACGAATCAATCCATTAGTTAAAAGCGGGACAGCTGATAATATTTTTAAGTAGTCTTTAATCGATTGCTAGTAAGGAACAGTGGGAACTGACAAGCCAACACCTTTTGGCCTTTAAGAAAATTGAACTAAACTAGTGACTTGAGTTCATGGTTAGGTGAGTGTGTGCGCATGCATGCCATGTAATGAAAACATGTTGAGACGAAGCAAGATTGAGGGGCAGTCTTTGCAGAGACAGGGAGGCAGGAGCTCCTGGAAGATCAGAGAAGACTGAAAGCTTGGGACAATCAGTTGAGGAAGAAAGCCTGCAGCCTGGTGATCCTCAGTTTTAAACCCCTTTGCAACAATGTCAAGGAAACAGTGCTTGGTAAATATAGAGAGAGCACTGAACGCACACATGACCCCGAAGCCAGCTGCTTTGATGGAGTGACCTTTGACATGCCCCCTCAAGTTCTACTCTTGCTCAAACACTATAATGAGACATGTAAGCTGATAGCCAATTAGAAATGATTCTTTTGGACACAGGATGACCTAACACACTCAGGTCAAACAAGACAAAGGATAGATGGACCTTATGGAGAGCTTTGTCTGCTCCAGACAGAAAAACAAGAGGACTTTTCAGACCCAGCTGGTGGAGCCACAGTCCATCAAGGCAGGCAGGAAGGGTGGCAGCGGAAATTAAAAACTTGTTAAAGCCCCTAGACAGAAACTTTGTATGAATGGTACAATACCCTCTTGTCTTTGTAGAACACAACAAAGTGGACATCAGGGGGCAGGAGCCATGGATGTAAGAGACACAACTTTGTCAAAGAGACTGAGACCATATCTGGCAGAAATGAGCAAAACAAGTCAGAAAAAAAGAGGTCAATGCCATTGCTGGAACACCTTGACAGGTGGAGGAGAACAGCCCTTGTAATGGTGTAGTTTCTCAGGTGGATTTCAAGAGTACACAAGCACAGAAGGCAAAACAAAGGCCTGGTGAGAGAAGGTGAAGAATTCTGTGAGGCCCTTTTGCAAACCTCTTGAGCTATTTTTACACAGAGTGGCGCTGCAAGGTAAGGGCCCAGGTGAAGAAGTGAAGGTTCACCAACCTCCATGACCTCTTCTCATTTCAACTTGACAAGTCCTGGCGGGTTTTCCATTTTGAAGGGGTAGGGACAGACATATGTCTCCTTTGGCAATTCCATTGCTCAGGTAACACAGAGAGATGCCCTTCATCCACAGAAGAGTTACAAGGAACAAAGCAACTGGAGATCCTAAGCAGGCTTTGAAAAGTCGCATCAAGAACATGTAAGACGGGTGTCCAGCTGTGTCTTCCAGTTGTGTGTCCTGCAAATTGACTGAGATGTATGCATGAGCATTACAACACAGGAGATAGTGCTCTGAAACTGTTCAGAAGAGGACAAAGAAAAGGCGCCACCGAAAAGGAGAAGAGGGCACAGAAGTAGCTGCATTAGTTTGTGGCAGCACGAAAAAGAACTGCTCAGGTGACTAAGTTTTCATCCACCGAAGCTTATTCCAGACAGCACTGGAGAAGCATTCACTTGGGCGGTGACTCACTCTCTCAAAACATGGAAAGCCCCCTGGGTTGATTTGAACAGGTCACCTCCCTGGCCTTAGGCTGAGGTTTTCAACACCATACTGACCAAAGCAAGCTGCAGCTTTGACCCTTTGCAAAAGGGACCTGACGCTTAGAAAAAGACCAGTCTCCTGGTGAAATATTTAAAAAACAATGCTAGTTCTACTCAGAGTATACCCATTGAAATCAATGGGCACAATTATTTATTTATTTCATAAAACTTATATACTGTAGGGAAAAACCTCAAAGCAGTTTACAAAAAAGATTTTGAGTTCCTCTCAATTTCAACCGACTTATGTACATTCATTCCAGTATGCCTACTCTTATTAGAACTTGGTTTGATACAACCCACTGGTCCTACAAGAAATATTTGCTCTGACATATCAAGTTAAGCTGAACATTCAAGACCAACTTCCCAAATACTTGGACAATACAGCAATGGATCAGATGCCTACAAAGGTCCTCTGGAGGGAAGCCTCTCTCTGGAACGCCGAAGGAAACAGGCGTTGATGGGCACCCACACTGGGGATTTTCAGAAAGCACACAAATACGTAACTTTTTATCAAGGGTTTTGAGAATGTGCAATGCTTTATCTTTATTTATTTATTTATCAATACACCAGGGAGGTGCATAGCAATACAAAAACCATTAAAAGCAATACAAAACAATAATCAAAATGATTGGCCACCCAAGGAATTTCTAAAGCAAACTGTTATATATTGTTTTCGTTCTGCTTATTGTGTTATTGGTTGGTTGTTATTTGAATTGTCTACTGTCTATTGTATTTTATTGTTTTATTGTGCTGCAACGTGCCTTGGGACCTTTGGTGAAGGCCAAGTTACCAGTAAATATTCCCATCTCACCGGGGTGGTGTGGGCACCTGAAGCAGTGACCCAGTGAGCTCCCTCTGACTCTGTGGGTCTCTGCCAGATCCTTGATTCTGGAGGTTTGAGCCTCTCTTCCTTTCATATTCCAGGACAGTAAGAAGTTTTGCACAGACCAGACTCCTCATCTCCCCCCAACCCAGGTATATTACGTATTATGCTCAGATGTGAAGGAAAAGGAACTGCTCTCTGCCCATCCATGCAGGCACACTTTCCCCAAAGAACATCCATTTTAGGGCTAAAAATCTTTGGCTCATCAAGACGACGGTCTAACACAGAACAAGCTTCCACCCCCCTCGTACTGCGGCATTATAGGCCCCTGGAAATGGTGCGTCTCAAAGGCACCGCAACGTACAAGGGGTTGAAGGACAAGGCTTCTGTTGGAACTAGCAAATAAACTAGCAGCCTCATTTGCAGCTGGCCACTGATGCCTTCCTTTCACCATTTGCAGGGCCAGAAAACAGTGCCCTCCTCCCTCCTCCTGGCTCTTCCCTTGCGCTGCCCAATTCTACGGAGCCGGGTTTCAAAAGAGACAGAGTAAGATGATAGCTTGACATGGACCACCTTCTTCCATTTGTGAAATGGGGCAAGAAAGGCTGCCTTTACTTTTATTTTATTTTTAAAAAATGTTCCTGGGCATGAAATGAAGCTGCCATGCTTTTTCTCTGTTAACAATCTTTTGCTCTCATTCATAAGGAGGCAGTGGAAATGATTGCAGATGCTTTTAAAACCCCAGACCACAAACGGAGGTGGTATGGGAAGGGAGCTCCATTCAATCTCTGCGATCATATTAGAGGAGGACCTTACATACACCAGCCTGACCTCTCCAGAGGTCAACCCAGCATTACCCATTTGCAATTCAAACCCAGAGATGGAGCAGACCAAGGGCAAAAGCAGGCTCTTGATTATATTTGAGAGGTCATCATTGCTATGCACAGTCAGAGAAAGCCGCTTTCCTGTCTTCAGCGCATTTTAAAATTCCTCCCATTGTCGTACAGAAAAGCCACTCCTTATTTGGCAACCAAGATCGTAAAGGTGAGGCTTAAGGTTTGGTTCTTCCTTGCCAAAGCTGGGACACTTTTCATGTTAATGCTGGAAAATATGCAGGGGGTAGCGAGGTCAGTTTCACGGCAGCCTCAAATTAAATCGGCCAGGAGACGGGGGAACACCAGCCCAGTCTTGGGAGCTGGGGAGGGAGGCTCCCACCCTGGTCTGTCTGTCTGTCTGTCTGTCTGTCTCTCTCTTGCACACAGGCAGAATTTCACTTACAAAAGTGAAGACTGTCATTAGTGAAGGAATCCAAAGGCAGGATCTGCAGATGCCAAATGGAAAAACAGCTCAGGCTGGGCTGATGGATCTATCAACAGGCCCAGCCAAATGTTCCTTCCATAGGCAGCAAAATGGCACCAGACATGGTGTCTGTCTAATATTAAAGACACAATCACACTTGGTTGTAGGATGCCAGCACAGCTTCTAAAGAATGCTTTAAAGGTAAAGGGACCCCTGACCATTAGGTTCAGTTGTGGCCGACTCTGGGGTTGCGGCGCTCATCTCGCTTTACTGGCCGAGGGAGCCGGCGTACAGCTGGTCATGTGGCCAGCAAGACTAAGTCGCTTCTGGCGAACCAGAGCAGCGCACGGAAATGCCCTTTACCTTCCCGCCAGAGCGGTACCTATTTATCTACTTGCACTTTGACGTGCTTTGGAACTGCTAGGTTGGCAGGAGAAAGAATGCTTTACCCATTGCCAGTTTTGCATGGAAACGGTTTTCCACATAGAAAATGGCGTGCAGAAACTGACCTGTAAGAGCCATCAAGAGTGTACATACACTGCTGCATGGATGTTAAACAGATGCGTGTGCAACCCACGCCATCCACACAAGACTTGCCTACCGTTGCCACACAGAACTTTTTGTGCATGTGTGCAATAAATCTGCAACAACTGATACAGCGCCAGGGATTCTCGACTTCTCTCACAGAAGAGAAAGGAAGGAAGGAAGAAGAAAGGAACAGTTCCATGGTTTCCGCGTGAGCAAGGGGCTGCCACCTCCAATGACTTGCCTCATCTCTCCTCCTCCCTTTTTTTTGGTGCAAGGGACACACATCCCACACCAGGTCTTAATGTATTTGAGTTTTTTGTCTGTGAATATTTATAACAGTAGGAAAAATCCAGGACAGCTGGTAATGCATTTTGAAGTGTGTTAACAACACAGCACCACACAGCTCTCTATTGATCACATAATGCTTTTCCTGGCCAAGTAGTTCTTATACGCTTTTTTTTTTTTTTAAAGAATACAAACTTCAAGTACCTTTTGCTTCAAGCGGTTTTTCACCTCCTTTATTCCCATTTTTGCATGATCTTTTGCCTGCATAGAAAAAAAAAGGGCGGAGGGAGATTAATTTAAGTCAGAAACCCTGTTCTGGCTGCAGAGGCAACTGGGCTTCATTTCCTCCCATCAAGACCCACCTTTTCTGATCACTGAGAATAGGGAGGGGTGGGGAAATTGGTCCACCAAACTGAAGACATAATGGGTATAGAAACAAATACAGATACAAGAGGTTAAAAAACAATATTTAATGAGGGGGAAAGAGATTTTGTTTGCAGAGAATACGCTGCCTCCTAAAGCCTAGGTTTCTTGCTCTATCCTCTAATTATTTTTTTATGTGTGTTGCATGGTAAGGGTAAGGGTAAGAAGCCTGACTAGGGCAGGACCCGACTCTTAGCAGCATCTAAGGGAGGCTCATAAGCATACTTCCTGGCTTCTCTGCACCACCATTCAGAGCTTGATTCTGGATGGTGAGAGAATATCAGTTTCATAATCCATTTCGATCCGTACTGGCTGAATGTAGGTTAAGGAACGATGGCAAGTGTGAGTTCCACCAAAGCTCCCAACGACCATTTCCTGCCCGTGGCCTCCTGTCCTATAAAGGGCAAAGCAGGAGCACAAAGGAGGAGACTCTGCTCCAGGTCGGGTCTCTGCCAATTTTGGTACGCACCTTCTGCTATGGGGCAGAAGGGGTGATGAGCTCTTGCTGGAAACCTTTTTCCTGCCAGCTCCACTGTTTACTCCAGAACTTACTGGTCTCTGGTTGCAATTTAAAGTCTGAGTATCCATGTGTGACTTATCCTCAGTGCCTTTGTTAAATTTCTGCTGGAACAGCATTGCTTCCATGTACATTTCCCTAAATTCCTCCTCCTCCTCCTACTTCTTATCCTACTGAAGATCTAACAGCAGGTGGCAGGGCTTGCAGCACGGGGAGGGGAGGGGGGAGAACATTCACACTGCATTCACACTTCTCCTCTTCATACCGATTGTTTAGTCTTTTTCTTCCATAAAAAAAAAATATTTCTCTCATCCAACAGTTTTATGCCAGCACCTTGAGAACCATTTCAGTGTCTGATTGATGAAAAGCTAATAATGATTATTGCTACAGTATGTAGCTTTTATGCAGTTTCCAAGGGATTTTTCATTTTTAATCTAGTAACGAGAAAGACTTTCTGTGTATTAATGTCCTGGCTTTTTAGCCCTCTATTGTTTCATGCGCCTACCAGTTTGGTCAAGTTACTTGACTCACACGAAGGACACATTGTGTAGCAAGCAGACCGTCTGTGTGCTTAAAAGCAACCCCAGCCTTCCCCTATATATGTGCACCTCCTATGCAACTCTATGACACTTACAAACTTGTAGACTGTCTTCATGGCAGGGTTTGCCTTGGTCTTGACTGTATTCAAAATGGCACCACTTCCTTTCTGCAATGAGGAAAAAGGAACAACATGGTAAACTGTTACTGGGGCAGAAGAGCCAACATAACTCCCGGTTTGGAATGCAAATTTCTGCACACACACACACAAAAAAGAAGTATTGCAAACACGCCTGAGCAATACAAAAGGCTTCAGGCATTTTGCTCTTAACATCCGGTTATTTAATTTCTTAAAGGAGGAAGTAGGGCAAACACGTCAACGTTTTCTTGAATAGTCAGATACGTGTTTATAAGTTCATTGAGTTCATACTTCATTTTTGTCATATAGGAGGCTATAGCACCAAACAAATATGGTGTTAAACGTGGAAGAATGTCTGAGTTCTCAAAGATCACTGTAGCAGGAGAGGGAGGGAATCAGTCTCCATTTGTAAAACCTGTTTGTGTATCTATTTCACCACATGAAAATATCTGGTATCTTGAGTGTGAAGTGCCTTCTCCCACATCAGTCTGAAACTGCTTATGCCCACCGTTCTTCCGCCGTCGAGAGGGAAATGAGGGCAGAACGGGGGACGGGAGAAATCCATCTCCTTCCAGAAAGGCCGAACTGCACGTACAGGAGGCACAACCAGAAAAGACGCACAAGGCTCTGATATGTCAGACAGAATAATCTAGTAGTCCAGTTAGTGTTTTATTTATTTTGCAGCTCACGTTGGCTTTTGCTGCATAATATATTATTTTGATAAATAAAATCCAGCGTGCACAAAAGACGGACACCCTCCCTGCCAGCCCTGGCCACCCTCCACAAAGACTCACTCAGGCACAGCTATTTTTTAAAACTAATAATTAACTTTGCCCAATACTAGTTTTTAATTTACTATTAACAGTGAGCTTTATTCCAGTGAACCATATTGCAAATATTTGTGTCCTTGAGAACTGGGTGATGATGATGATGATTAATTTATTAATTCATAGCACTTCTTTTTCTGCAGCTCTTGGAACACTGTTTGGCATTCTATGAGAATGTCAGAACAGCCCGTCGGATGTTTTCACAGAGCTTCTTTTATTTGTCTCAGAACCCCGAGTGATCAAGGATGCCCGGTCCTCATTTCCCGCCTGACAGAAACTGCTCGGCTTGGAGTAAGTTTGGGGCTGGGAACACAGTGAGCTTGCTTCTGCTAATTATTTCTTTTGCCATTACTATCTTAAATGTGTGTAATACGGAGAGGGAGAGACTACTTAACCACAACTCCTGGGATCTATTTTGGGTCTGCTATTCATAAATATTTATCATATGGCAGTTAATCTGTATCAATTAAGTTAACAGCGGGACTCCAAATACCAAAAAGGTAGTTCTGCCCGCCTCCTGCCTCCCTACCTTGTAGCAAAAACAACAGATTTTGGCAACCCGTCGTTCATGCGCATCGGAGCACCAGCAGAGTTCCTGCTTTGGGAGAGGGTGCAGCAGCATCCTTAAGCCTTAACTAGCTTTGGCCCCCATCTCAGCACCCTCACCCTAGGACTCAGAAACTGCTGGACGATCAGAATAAGGAGCACCTGGGCTGCTGGGGACACTTACCCTAACCGTTGACAGCCACTGGAGATACAGCTTGTCACTACCTGACACAAAGAGGCAAGCAGACAGATGAGAAGTGGCAGCACTCATTTTGCCATCAGCAGACACCCCCCCCCAGGACAATGCAGCTATGCTGGAGATGCAGCCTCCTTTGGAAGGACAATGCATCTAAGTTAGCTCCCCACTTGCCCCCCCCCAATAAAAACTAGGGCAATTAGTGAGATAACAGCTCCTTCTGAATGTGTCTTCATAGAAAAGAGCAAGAAAGAGGCTGCTTTTTATTCATGTCTAAATATAGCAAGGAGTCTTGTTTAAATATAGAAAGCTGCTCTGAGGGTTGTTTGCGTCTCCCTCCCCGCATCAACACTCCTGGCTGAAGCTTCCCCGTCAGTGGGCTGGCCGTGAATCCCTGGTTTGATTCCAGAGGGAGGTGAAGGAAAGGCACTGGCCACCCCAACATCGAAGAGCCCCCCAGCCACACAGGGCTAGCCTTGAAGAGGTACCAAAACTACAACACGAGGCAGCCCACAAGACCCACGAAACTGAAATCCACTGAGAGACGAAAGAAAAATTCTGCCAAGGACCAGGCTTGGGAGCTCATTCTGACTTCAACCGAATCTCTAATTCACGGGCTTTCAAAATTTGTTTCTATGTTTGCTAATACAAGCAGGTATTATATGTTATTTCCCCCATTATTTGACTTCTAAGACACCAGCAGCATAGAGAAAGGGCTATAAATATATTTATTCCTTGGTGTTTTTTCTGCTTTTCATTTCTTGTTTTGTCCCCCAGGCCTTTATGTAACTTAAAACCTCACTGCCTTGGGCCAGGCTGGAACCTAATTAATTGTCTATAGCACGAAGTCTTGAAAAGTGCAGTCACAGACCAGCTTGAGGAAAACCCTCTTTTGCTTCCCTTGCTAATCTTTCTAAAGGTCTAAGGAAGCTACCTGGCACTTCTGGTCCAAACAGAAGGGTCACCTCCTTTGCTCGGCATCCACAAACTCAAGCAAACGTTCCTCCTTACCAGCATATTCGCCCATGTTGATCTCTTCCTCAAAGACATCACTGAAACCTTCTCCGGAGTTGAGAAGATCAAGGCGGCCATCAATAAACTTCAGGAGAAGAAAAAGAAAGCACACCAAGAGCGGATCATACAGGCCATCCTAAAGCCCTGAAGAACAACCCCCTGCCAAGGTGCTAACACTCGCTCCCTTTTTCAAGGCGTCTCATATTATTATACCAGGCTAGAGATCCACTGCTCAAGCTTTCTGGCTTGGTGGGGCCTCCAATATAAAACTGGAAGGGACTTGCAATGGAGAGCCAGAGGCAGAAGAGCATGTCAGGTTTTACTGTTATAGAACAGAAAAGAGGAAAACAAACAAACAAACAAACAAACAAACAAACAAACAAACAAACAGTGCTCCTGTAAACGGATTGTCAGCTGGGCTGGAAAAAGATATTAATGTAGAGCACATCCCATTTTGACCCATAAATTAAGCTAATTATGAAACAAAGTGGCCAGCTGTATTTCACGGCACATGGCCCAGTATAGATCACAGTGCACAAAAGCAAGGCAGGGGGTGAGGATGGTTCTTTTGTTTAACGACCTGCAATACCTGCTTGAAAAGCTGCAGCTGGGTTGCGTTCTGCAGGAACTGTCGCATGGTGGCAGACCGGTGGGAGACAAATGTTTCTTCACAGAACGTGATGGGCTCCCCCTGGAAAGATGGAGTTCAGAGGAGGGGTGAACTTACAGGTGGCCAAATGCTCCCAGAAGAGTACAAGCCCAGTCAATGAGTTGCAGTGGGCTGCATTAAGCACCACGGCAAGTACATTCAGGAGCAAGGTTCAGAGAGGGAGGAGGCCTCCCCAATCAACTTGCCCACCTCCAGACAGTGGGCCCTTAACCAGGGCAAAAGCCAGGGAGACTGGCCAATGGTCATCTACTTCCTCCAGGCAAACGGAAGAGGAAGGCTGTGCTCCCCCTGCCCCACAAACCAAGCAATTTTTAATGTCTCGTGTTTGATTTCCAAAAACAGGGAACACCTGGGGCTCTTAGCTGGAAGTCATCCCAGCAGCCACAGTGGGATTGTTGGTGCTTGCTCAGAGGTAAAGTAAAGGCCTTCAGCTCATTCTCAGAAGCACTCTTTGTGAATCCACATGCTCCAGACTCCAGGCATTAAAATAAAATTAAAATCCAAGGAAGGCACAAATGAGGCCTTGGTAACTCAACAATGATCCTGTCAATGTTCTTGACATAGCACAGGGCCACAAACACCTTTGTCAGGTGTTCTGAATGGGCCAAAACTTTTTTGGTGTTTTCAATAAGAATGGAGTTTTATCTGTAAAATGCAGCAAAGCAAACACCATTTGCAACTTTGGGCTGGGGGGAAAGGAAGTGTATTGTGTTGTGTTGTTTTGTGTTACATTGATAGTGAAGTTGGTTATGTATCTGCTGGGGGGGGGGGTCACCCATCTCTTTTCACATCATGGCAACACTTAAATCTGCAAATTTGCAGCAAAGCAAGTAAATATATTTATGGCAACTGAAAAGTGGCAGTAAGAAGGAGCAGTAGAATTATGTCAATGCAGAGGTCTTTTCATGCTCTAATGAAAAAGTACACCCAGTGCTTTTCATCCATGAGCCGGGGGCGGGTGGGGAGGGGGGAGAGATCATTCCAGGCAGATGGGTTGCTGTCACCTCGGTTTCATGGTGGAACTCTACAGCTGCATTCCTGTAATCCTCAGGTCTGGGAGGAGGGAGGAGTGCCCCCCCCCCAATCACAGAAGACCCTTGCAATCTTGGCCTGTGGGAGGAGCCTATAAGGAATGTCCATGTGTGGAAAACTGCACTTCTCCCACACAGAGAGCACATCCTTTCTGCATTCCTTCTTCCAGTGCTCCAAACTCCCAAAGCTGCACTTTGTGACAGGGAATTTCATTAGCGCGAGCAGTTTCTGAGCTATGGGCGCAGCACTGTGCCTAAGATTTCAGATTAAAACTGCAGAGTGGAAGGAGAGGGGGACCTTTTCCTGCCTCCCCACTTCCAGCTGCTCTCTGAAGACTGGAGAAGAGACCCTCTTAAGAACATTAGGGGGGTGGGGCAGGGGAAGGACTAGGCCAGGGGTCAGCAACCTTTTTCAGCTGTGGGCCGGTCCACCATCCCTCAGACCATGTGGTGGACCAGACTATATTTTGAAAAAATAAATAAATAATGAATTCCTATGCCCCACAAATAACCCAGAGATACATTTTAAATAAAAGCACACATTCTACTCATGTAAAAAACACCAGGCAGCTCCCACAAATAACCCAGAGATGCATTTTAAATAAAAGCACACATTCTACTCATGTAAAAAACACCAGGCAGCTCCCACAAATAACCCAGAGATGCATTTTAAATAAAAGCACACATTCTACTCATGTAAAAAACACCAGGCAGCTCCCACAAATAACCCAGAGATGCATTTTAAATAAAAGCACACATTCTTCCCATGTAAAAACACCAGGCAGGCCCCACAAATAACCCAGAGATGCATTTTAAATAAAAGGACAAATTCTACTCATGTAAAAACACACTGATTCCCAGACCATCCACGGGCCAGATTGGGCTGGATCCGGCCCCCGGGCCTTAGGTTGCCTACCCCTGGACTAGACCATGTGAAAAATGAACATAATATTGTAGCTGCAGTTCATTCATATTCAGCTTTGTATTCTTGTTATTAAAAAAGGTGTACCTAGACATTCTGTTGTTGCGCCCACAACCTAGTTTTAAGGTGCCATTTAGCTTTCATATCTCCGTTTCTAACACTGCCTTCTTCTAGCTGTTTCCTGCCTCTCCTGGACCATACCACTCCACTGGGACTGAACTGTGAGTTTCCTGCTCTGTTGGCCCTATTGATCCTCCCCTGCCCAGAGGGAGTTTGGTATCACCTTCCACTTGGCCCACATTCCTAAACTGCACTGCCAAAAATGCTGAACACCAGCAGGCACACATTGGAGATGATTTCTCCAGCTAAACTGCTCCAGCCTTGGGAGGCAGGTGACACCACACCCAGGATGGGGAATAAAGATATGGAGGACCGGAGGTTGCACCAGGAAGCAAGGACTGGCCTTACTGCTGTGGCCAAGTCCACCGTTATTCAATTTGCACCATCTGTGGGTCAGAACACAAAAGAGCCTCCATTCATCACCCCTGATGAATGGGATAGCAGAAAAAGCCACCTACTGCTTTGTATCTGGTGAAATATAACCTGATTTGCATTGCAATTTGCATAGGCGACCATTTCCTGCACCACTTTTTTGCGATAGCACATGAGCTACTGTAGCTAATATTCCCCTTGCCGCCTATTCCAGGGCTGAATTCTACAAACATTTCTAAATGTTCCAAGCTCATAAAGCACCTTGAGGTATACTAAAGCCACAATGGAACTTTTACGTGTGTGCAGGAAAAGTGTATGTGACAGTTAAGGACACTACAGGGTATAAAGACCAGGAATGGTGATTGCAGCGATTTATGGTGCTGTGCCTGCTTATATCACACTGGATTATAAATTTTGCATATAAACTCTATTAAAGAGGAAGAAAGTGAAACTGCAGAGGAGTTTTAACTTGGAGGATTTCTGTTATGCAAAGAGCCATGAGTCCTGGAGGCTAGATGAGCAGCCCATCAAGAAATGGCCCCCCCCACTTAATTAGACCCAGCAGGCTCTATATTCCTCTATGTCTTGACTTTTTAAAAAGCGAGTATTTTATTTAATGTTTTAGATCCTAAATTATGGCTGAGGACAACTATGCTCCCTTTCCTATTTGCAACAAACAGAGGGGGCGCCAAGGGAGATCCAAAACAATCCCACTTTGTCAGGGCAAGATGGCATCCTGTTGAGCCCACAACATTTCTGATTGATGAGCGATTCCACTCTTTTTTACTGGTACTTTTCCCCAGTGCCGAACAGCTCTTTGGAAGTCTCTTTCATTGCCTGAGATCGTGGAGAGAGGCTCCCTGTCAGAGAACAATACTGTGCCACATGGACAAACCAAACAAGCACGGTATAATGTGGCCTGCTACGAGGGAGGAACTAGTTGGCTTGACTGTGGAATTCTAAATCTATTGCCTGCTAGCGTAATATTTTCAACTGGAGATGCCAGCAACTGAATCTTGGACCTTCTGCATGCAAAGCAAGTGTCCTGCGGCCAGCGAGCTAGACTCCTCCCCTGGAAGCACGGTTGCTCCTTCCCTCCCTGGGAGACACAATGCGTGCTACGCCTGTCTTCAGCTTTCCCTTAGCCCTGGTATTTGGATGCAGCAACCATGTTCAGACATGAAAATTCCACCTGCTAATTGACTATACAACACGATTTGCAGCCACGTCGGGGAAGATGGGTTGGGGAAGAGGGAGGGTTTAGAGACGGGAGCTCCAGGAAGGTTAATCAAAGGTGGTGATGGAAGGCAGTCGCGAAAAGGTCACATTTCTCAGCTCTTGCGGTGTGATGGTCTCCAAGGAAACCTAATTATCCAATGAAATGCAACATATTTACGATGCGTATCTTCCCCACACAAGATCAGCTGAGGTCACTGGACTAGTGTCAAAAGTACAGCATCCCTTGTATGGCAGAGATTCTCACTCTGGTGCAGCAAGCGGGGGGGGGGGGAGTGGTGGGAGAGCGGAAATGGTTGAGCAACCCAAACCATAACAGCTGGAACAAAAGAAAGGCCAGAGAATGGGGAATTGTGACACGGAACCACATTGGACCGGAACCTGTGAAAACCTCCACCACCAAGCAGGGTGAGGGTGGGTGGGGGCAACAAAATTCCCGTAAGAACCAGGGATTTTTTTCAGCTGGAACTCAGGCCTGAGACCTCTCAGGTGGGCACCATTGCCATTCCAAGACAACGAGGGAGGTGTTCAGGGTGAGAACAATAGCCTTGGGTTAGAACCGAAGGCCAAAGGGGAGAAGCGCATGTTGCATGTCCCCCAATTCCCGCCCCTGGAGTGAGTCACTGCTTCCAGGATCTCCCAACTGACTGAGGGCTTCCCTTCTCCTCGCGCGCACACACACTGTTGCACTAATGTAGCAGCACATTTATTGCGGGTGGGGAAATGCAGGTGTTTTACTGTTGGCAAACTGTCCCCTGCTTCTGCAAATGAGGCAAAGAGCACCAACTTAATTCCAGCCAGACTCCACTTGGTGGGTGCTTCAGACTTATCCACCCCCACCCCCCAGTTTTGCACTGTGGACTTGGAACTCCAAGTTTGTAAAAGGGACCAGCGCAGAATGGAAGCGATGCGTATTTGCAAGGGTGTTAATCCAGAGCCCAGTGATCCCTTCTATCCCTGTTACAGCTTCCTTTCACACCTCAGCCAGGGAAACAGGGCAACATCAATGAGTTTCATCAAGACAGGGGAGGGGGGGAAGCTACTATTTAATTAGATCACATGGCCAGAGAAGCATCTGGCTCAGAGCATGGCAGTTTACACATCTCCTTGAGTTGTCGTGGAGACAAGCACATGACCAGCCCCACGCGGAAACTCTGGGGCACGAGTCCAAGCACACTCCTAATGCATTCTGACAGAGAGCAGATGGGCAGCCAGTCAGATGGCCAAAGGGTGCAGAGGCAGCCCCCTCCAAACCTGGAGGTGCACAAGGATAATTTCCATCCTGTAAAATCAACCTGCCCAGGAATTACACACACCTTTAATGGTAGTGCCTGTGTCAA